GCATCACAAAATTAGTAATATTCCAAAGTTTTGTTGCAAAATCTTGTAAAATGCGGATAATATAGCCTTGCGAAGTTTGCCGTTTTTCAGTCATTTTGTATTACAAACGGGAAATTGACATCCGATTCGGGTGTTGTGGCATCAATTTCCCGTTTGTAATGCAAAATGACTGAAAACTGCAAACTTCCCAAGGCTATATTTTACTCATTTTACAACATTTCGCAATGAAACTTTGGAAAATTACTAATTTTGTGATGCTCTTTCAAGCTGTGATGAAATATTTGTCTAGACTTGCCTAGATCAAAATTTTGGTTATAAGGGGAAAGGTCTATTGAGATGAGAAATGTCGGCACAGTAATCTGTATGAAGGCTGTGTTCACAATTTCATGATCGACTGCTTTTTAGAAAACATGGATTTATGTCAGAAATTGCACGTTGGGTAGCAAAAATTGCCTCGTAATTGTTTCACGTAAACAAACCTGTCAGAAAAAAGTAACGTTGTGGCAGCATATTGCAACAGCTATGTAGAAAAGAAAATATTGAAACATGAAGATTTTAAATTGGCCCCTTTCAATCCAGAGAACTGCAACGGATTGATAGCAGAACTTCGAAACGTTTGAAGTTCTGCTTACTGATATGGATATTTTTCAGGTATACAGTACTAATCCGCAGTTTTGTCATTACTAAGACATTAGCGTTACTACCCTATATCCCTTTTAATCCAAAATGTTCCATAACCTACCTAACTTGATTTTGATTTGTTTTTTCCCCGATCAAATTTTGTTATACAGTGTAGCCACTGTACTGGTTTTTCATGTTGGCCAAAAGTCAGAAAAGTCAAAATTTTGTCCGTTAAACGTTTTGCCAAAGTTGTCAACAAGTTTGGAGCAAGCTGTAATTCAACCTTGTTGATGACATTATCAGACTTGTTACAAGGTTGTTCCAACAAGTCCGATGCAGTCGTGATGTAACAATATTGTTACAACCTTGTGTCGTCGTCATGACCCTATATCATGACTGTATCAGACTTGTTAGAACAACCTTGTAAGTCTGATAATGCCACCAAGTTTGTTACAAGCTGTCAACAGCTTGTTCCAAACTTGTTACAACAACTTGGAACATGCAGAGCGAACACAAGTGCAGTGTTGTCATTAGCTTGTGAACAGATTTGTAACAACTTGTTTGCAGACCCGTGTGTTGTTGAATTACCTTAAAATATCTTGGAATTTTAAGAATTAAGGATACTAGTATATGGTAAATTGTAGTAAACAAATTAAATGAAACAATCTGTAGAATGTTGTTGCCTGAAATACCGCGCATGCCGCAATCAGAAGTTCCCAACGCGACCAACCTGGTGCTTGACATCTGAATCGAACAGCAAACTTTCCCATAAACCATGAAATTCGTCTATAATCCAACGTAAAAAGTCATAATTAAAGGCACAGTTCAGTCTTTTGATTGAAAAAACTAACTAGGAAAATCAATTTTATGCATAATTCAACATTAGTAAACTCAATGTTTTTTAACAATAAAAATGTTTTAAAATGTTAAAAACATTAAGTAGTCGCTGATCTTGAAATATGCTTAATTGATTTTCCTAGTCAGTTTTTTCAATTAAAAGGGCTGAAATGCGGCTTAAAAACCATCATTCAAAAGGCTAGATAAAATGATAATACAAATGATATAATCTTCGGACAGAAGAGTAGACTTTGAGGGTGACTGCACTCAATTTTGGGTTCCAGACTTCCAGAATTTGAAGAAATATTTCCGAAACTTCCCAACAAGTTGTTTGAATTTTAGGCTAACCCAGGGTTGATATATGATATATATATATTATAATTATATAAATATATTACGCTACCTGCCTCGTCTAACCCTAGCCTATGCATGGTTATTGCAGCTAGGCTGCATGCACTTAGGGACCGGTCATGAAGTAACTGCTAGGGTGAACCAGAGAGATTTGGGATGTGCCATGCATGGAAAATCTTTGTGCGGTTTCGATGGGCCGCCAACTTTTTTGTACGTCCACGGTTGGGCCACCAAACAAAAACCCATGTCTACTTCGAAAAATAGGTATGCGATGCGGGCATGTATCCAGGGGTGGAAAAAATCATTTATTTTGTGCAAATTTTGTCCCGCCATCATGTTGCAAGTAGTTCAACTTGTTGAACCTTATACGACTTGTTGCGGGAACAAAACGTTGCAGCGATGCCATATGACATTTCGTGTGCATGATGCTGCAACATGTCCCTGTAAAATAATCCCTGGTGTTTTTGGACATAATTTTGTCCCTGGCACATGCCCCTTGTGTGTATTGCGTGTGATTTTGTCGCTGGTAGTTGACTTGTCGCTGCAACATGTCCCTGCACCAAAACCCTTCGTGTCTCGGCACCTTTATGGAAATTTGTGCACTTTCACAGTCAGAGAACATATTGTTTTTCTGTATAATGAAGCGATTGCCCAATGGAAACCTGACACTTCAACCGTAAAATTAAAGCCGAGTATCTTTAGGCACTGCCAATGTTTTAAATTGATTCAAAAACGATCAATCTAGTTCATTGGCGAAGTCATTTTCAAAAAGTATGTTGTGTAAGTCAAGAAAATCAAAGTTATCACATATTAAGATACGATACGCTTATGATTTTTCTCTGTATTTTCCTCATGAATTATTAGGTTTCATATGACGTCGCAAAAGTGACGGGGGCTCAACTCTAAAACAAATCACAGTTATCAGAGTGAGTCGATTGTTCGTTTTATGTATTAACTTTGTGTTTGGTGGCAGATACATGGAATTTCGTATTATTTTCTCACTCTAGTACAGCATAAGCATCAATACATTCAAGGTTGACACCCCGTCTGATTCACTGCATAATGCCTTATAGTGTAACCCAATAATACGCTACCGGCAAGCTCGCCGAAAGCTGTTGCCTGTTGTAAAAAACTATTTGTATTACTAATTTACGAAATGTAAGAATCGGGTGCCATACTCCAGCAAGCTGCTCCATTTACTGTTCGGAGTACTCCAGAATTTCGGAACTTTAATGGAATGGAACAGAAGAGAATCACATGACTGTTCTGAACTGTTCTGACTACCCCGATTTTCGAGTAGGGGCAGCCAGAACAGACACGTGACACTGCCTATTTTCACGTGATTGGAAATGAGGCGACATATTTTGTGTATCCAATGCACACTGTATAGAGCGTTATTTTGAAGGGTTAACCGCTATATTTCAACATACATATACTTATCATATGCTATTTGAACGCCACGGTTGGGCAAAATCAACGAGTAAAAACGTTGCAAAAGCATACGTAGATGTACAAATAACAGCGAATCATTATACGCTTTATTATGCGAATAATAATGAATATAGTAATGCATGGTTGCACGCATATATAATAAACTAAACACTGTTCCAGAACACCGTGTGCACTCCATTTTATATCGTTCCAGAACAGTGTTCCAAATGTTCTAGAACAGTATTAAAATGGAGCAGCCTGCAGTACAAATAGCTACTTCGTTGTTTATATTTATAGAGCTAAGCGATCTAATTAATTGTGACAAACATACTCACTCCCCCGACCCTAGTTAGCAATATTCTATTTTACCCAAAATCTGGGTGTGTGACAAAGGGTGTGTGACAAAATCTAGGTGTGTAACAAAATCTGGGTGTGTGACGGAAGTAAACCCGGGGTGATCAGTGACGTCATTACTAATACATCTCTGTGCAGGTATGCAAGAGGCGTATAAAAACCCTGACAGAACGAGGTTGGCATCATTTGATTCATTGCATTCATTCAATGTACAGGTCAATGCACGTTTGCGATAACAATATATCTGCTTCGCAGATACAAAAGTAAAGATATTAATATAAATAAACGTATTAACAAAACTATCCAAATTGTCAAATGTGAAATCAATGTAAATGTTGCTATTGAAGCCAGTACTTTGTTTTATACAACAACAAGAAGTGGTCGAATCACAGCAAATACAACCAACTGAAGAGTGGAGAGCAGCTCAGTATCGTAATTGGTGATGAATCATGAATGTATTAACGATCAGGCTTGGTGGAATTAGGTATGTTTATACAGTACCAGTGTATATTTAATACAATGTTCATACCTGCAAGTTTTTTTTTATTATAAAAGTGTATTTTCCCAATTTAGTTTGGGTGGGTCGGTCATGATATAAATTTGGTAAGATTTATAGATGGGCTTATTAAGGGCTTTGAAATTTTTATCTATACATCCTAAGATGGGTCACCAAACTTATTGATACAATTTGTGATTTACCTCCAGCCCACCCTAGCAGTTACTTTATCACCAGTCCCTTATTAGGTCAGGATCAAAGTAAATAAGTAATGTAAATAAGTATTATTGTAAAATAAATTGGTCGATTGACTGACATACATGTAGCATTGTTTCAACAACTTGTTAACAGGATGTACAGTGTTACTGTAATTGTTCGCACTGCTTGTCCCAGGTTGTTGACAAGTCGTCAACAGCTTCTTGACAATTTGTTACATTTAGTGATTTAGGTTAAACTCAACAGACTTGTTACAAGTTGTTCGAACAGCTTCTTATCATCCTGGGCCAATTGTAAAAAACATGTAACTAAAAATTTGACCACTATTTTGCAGTTCAATAGTACTGTAGTTCTCTTGAACATATGCAATTTTTCAAAACTCAGACTTACTATTCTAGCTTTCTTAACAATGGTTAATTGATTTCTGTTAGCCCATAATTACTTTACAATTACATTTTTACATTTTTAACCTAATTATTCATATTTTTAACCTAATTATTCATATTGTATATATAACACCTAATCTTAACACATCTCTATCTCTGATGATGTTGTTGACGACGAAAGCTTAGATAATCATAGACAATAAAAACTTTTTTAAAGTGTTTATTTTTACAGTCTATTTTTAAACAGCCGCAGCTTTGGCCTCACTTGAACGAACCCCGAACGTATTTATATGCAATTTTGATTGGTTAACTTTTGCACTAGCTGTATAGTTAACTGTACTAGCTTTTTACGCAATTACCCCTGCAATATCTAACAACTTGTTAAATTCAATAAGTTAACTTCAAGTTGTGAGTGACAACGTGAAGGGTCCACTTTTTACACCTAATCATTGTGAAGCAACTTCACAAACTAACAACATTGTTACAACTTGTTGACAAGCTTGCTACATGCATGCTGCGAACACATCTTTTGACAAGATATACAATTTTTGCATGAGCACATGACCTGCTTTGACGACACACTTTTTACGGCCAAGGATAAGGTTAGCCTAACATCTTTCATCATCATCTTAAGTTACATCTTTTATTTTTCATAGTCCCGGATTTGTTTAAGTTTATAGTATGTGCTTCGACAACAAACCTTTGAAATCATTTAATTGTTTTGCAGATTTGTACAGCAATATGACGTCAGGTTGTTATCCACGGCCAGAGAAACGCAAAATGATGGAACGAGTTTCAGAAGAAGACTGGCGCAATGTTAGAGGACGTCTCGATGCCGATGGAAATTCACCTCAATCTCATGTATCAATGAAAAGCATGTCAGAAAGAACCTGTCATATGTTCAACAATCCTGACATAAGTGATATCAGCTTCACTTGTGAGGGTTCAGACAAGATGTTCTATGCACATAAATATGTCTTGGGCACAAGTAGTGCTGTATTCAGAACAATGTTTTTTGGCATCTTAGCTGAGAAGAATTCAATTCTTCATCTCATCGATACTGATGAGGACGGTCTGGAGGAATTTTTGAGGTTCCTCTACACAGGCAGATGTTATTTGACAGAAGACAATGTTCTGTCTGTCATGTATCTGTCAAAGAAATATATTGTGCACTTGCTTACCGAGAGGTGTGTTGATCTCCTTGTGAAAGGCATGGATGCCGAGAATGTGTTGGCCATTTTAGAATGGGCTGATCATTTCGACCATGAATACTTAAAAAATAAATCTTGGGCGTTTTTAGATTTGTTTATTAATCAAATTGTGACTTTTGAAAGTTTCAAGGATATTAGCCATTATAGGTTAGCTAGTATACTCAAGCGTGACAGCCTCAGTATTTCCGAGGTTCAATTGTTTCAAGCTGTTTTAAAATGGATTGACTTTCAATGTTCGCAAAAAGGTTTAGATCTCACAAGGGAGAACAGAAGATCCATCATTGGAGATGCAATATACGATCTAAGATTTTTTGCTATGGATGAGAATGAATTTGTAGCAATTGTAGGAACATCTGGTCTGCTTACACCTGAAGAAATTATTCCATTCTCTAATTTAACATTTCATGGAATTCAATTAATATGTAATCTGAAGTGGACCATATCGACGAGAAGAGACTATCAGCCATTACAACAGAGTCAAATTGCTGACAACTTTAGATCAACATATTTCGAAAACGTGAAAAGTGTGATAAAGTAAGAAAAAACCTGCAAAATATTGAAATGATGTGGGTGTCCCAAAAAATTTGATTTGATGTAACGTAAAAGCTATAGGGGGGGGGGAGGTTGTTCTCTGGAAAAAAATTTTTCCGGAAAAACTTTTTTAGATAGGGGCCCCTAAAAAAAAATTTGCCCCGGGCCCCTGCCAACCTCTCGGCGGCCCTGCTCAGGAGTCAGGGACATGTTGGGGACAAGCCGATGAGAGCTTGTTGTGGGCCCCTGCCATGTATCATGGGCCCCTAAAATTAAAACATTGGAAAAGATAAAAAATAATTATATAGATTTAAAAGTCATATCTTCAAGCCAGTCCATGTAATGTTCTGTATATTATATAGTCCCAAGCGAAAAATTGTGAACTGAATTTTTCACACTTAATTAAAAGCAAATTGGAAAAAGTCATGTGATCGATAGCTTCACTAGTGAAGATGTGGAAAATATCTCACTGTGTATCTCACTCTCTACTACATATATTAAAACAAATTATGGTACATTAATTTGAAAGTTACTGAAAAATGGTATGTCCGGAAATTTTTTTACTCCCCTTGCTTAACCCCAACAGCCCCACCCCAATCTTGATCCATATGTCACTGGACCCCATAAGATGTCAATTCCCATTAGCAAGGAGATGCTAATAAATCACCACAGCTAGAAAGAGCATACTAAAATGAGTAAATTAAAATGCATTTGGGCAAGTATTGACAAAATTTGCCAACTTTTCAAAGCTATATTTTCCGCATTTTAAAACATAATTCGCAACCAAACTTTGTAATTTTACTTATTTGCATCTCCTTGTCTAGTTTTAAAATTAGTCTATAATGGGAATTGCCTATTATCAAACCATTCGCTCTCGTCGTATATGGCTGATAGCCGACATGCGTAGCACCTCGTAGGCTATAGCAGCTCATATATATACGATTCAAGTTCATGGTATAATATAATTTTTACCTCAAAACGTTGCCACTACAGCTTGTTTCATCCAAGAGCCACCTGATGATTCCTCTTGGACAGGATTATTTTAGGTTTTGAGACTTGGGTGGCAGCTCCCCCCCCCCCCCAATTTCAGGGGTTTTATTTGGGGGGATTCCCCTCTCCTCTAAGTCACAAACCCATGCCTACCTATTCCAAGTGAGCCTGAATTGCATATAGATGTTACAAAAGTTAATAGTTAATGTAGATATAAATAAGAAGCTATTTACAATTAGAATTAGGAAATGATTTACAATTAGGTTAAGTGTAGGGAAAAAATTCTAAAAATTTGACATTGATGGACAGGTATGAATGTTCTTTTGAATCGATTAGTGTTCGCTGCTGGGGTATGGTAAGCATGGGATTATGTCTTAGCCTTAGATTATATACATAATTCTTAATGGGATCGAGGCAAGATTCTTGTTGGTAAAGTTTATTGGTACCATCAGATTTTATGGACTGGAATAGTTTATTACATAATGTTTGTCTTCGATTGTACAGACTGTCAATGCTGGATTAATTCACCAACTGCACCTCAAAGTGATTATAGCCATTTTTATACTAATGTTATATGCCTTTAAACTGTATAGTTACCACTCACCAGTTTAATATTAATAATGATATTCACTTGGAAAATGATAATGGGAAATGCTCCCCCCCAGAATTTGGGAGGGGGTTTGGGGGGGGGGTAGGGATGAAGCATGGTACCTGTTGAATCTGTTGATTCCTCTTGCATGAAACAGGCTGTATAGTGGCAATCGTTTGAGGTAGAAACTACACTATATCTGCTATCTATATGGTGTTGCATACTTTTAACATTTTGTTTTGTATATATTTAGAAATTCACCTCAATCTCATCTAGACTGGCAATCAACAATCCAAAGAACCCCTCATATGTTCAACAATCCTGACATGAGTGATGTCAGCTTTACTTGCAAAGGTTCAGACAAGATGTTCTATGCACATAAATATGTCTTGGGCACAAGTAGTGCTGTATTCAGAACAATGTTTTTTGGCGACTTAGCTGAAAAGAATTCAGTTCTTCATCACATTGATATTAATGAGGAAAGTCTGGAGCAATTTTTATGGTTTCTCTACACAGATGAACTAACTTTGACAGGAGACAATATTCTGTCTGTCGCATCCCTGTCAAAAAAATATGTCATACCCTTCCTTTCCAAGAAGTGTGATGAAGTCCTGAGATTTAAGATGAATGAGAAAAAAAATGTTTTGACCATTTTAGAATGGGCCATTTATTCCGACGAAAAAAGATTAGAAATGAAATGTTGGAAGGAACTAAATTTGTACTTTGATGACATTGTGACTTCGGAAAGTTTCAAGCATATTAGCAAGAACATGTTAGCCAGTATACTCAAGCGCAAGCGCAAGTGCTTCTTTATTACCAAAGTCAAACTATGTAAAGCCGTTTCAAAATGGGTTGACTTCCAATGTTTGCAAAACGATCTAGGTCCAACAAAGGAGAACAGAAGATCTGTTATTGGAGATGCGATACATGATCTAAGATTTATGGTCATGGATGTGATGGAAGTCGTTAAAGATCAAAGATACAGTAGATGGCGTCGTAGACTCCATTTGCAATTGGCTAACATTTCTTGTTTAATCTGAAATGAACTGTTTGGGGTAACTTACTGTAATGTTCCTGGCTGTCCAGCATTCATACAACTGGCCCCAGGGTAATTTATCCAGACACATAACATGCATAGTCTGGTTATTTTAACAAGGGCATCTTGTCAATTATAACCAAATTCCCGGTAGGAAGGTAAAATAACCAGGAAATATCACTTGCAAATAGTGTTATTCTAGGTTAAACCAGAAATTCTTACCACCACTACCCCCCCAATCTTAATACTGTACCTGCAGGTAGCAACCAATGATTTGCAGCTGAGATATCATCCTCTAGTTCTTCAGAACCTGGTCCACCATCATGTAGTTGATAGATGTGAAATTGCAGGGATGTGTTTGATAATTGTACAACCTAAAGGGTATTTTATAAACAAAACTATAAACCTATGAATTCCTTTCAAACATCAGGGGTTTCAAAGCAAGACGTTGGCTGCCGGAGGGTGTTGAGGTTCACTGCCAGCTACTTTTTTTAATTAAAGTACATTGACAGTATTTTTAATTCTTACCTTACATATTTGTTGTAGTTTTCTGTATATATTTGTATTAATATATTCTGCAATGTGATTTACATTTTTTGTAATGTTTATAATTTGTTTTGACTAAATCGATTTAATTGGTCGAAATTCTCCTTAGATTTTCAGGTAGTTGCATCCCTTAAATTAACCTACAAAAGCTCATTATTTACAAATTACTATCTAATGCCTGTTTTCAACATACTATACCTCATATAGACACTGGCTTGTGCCTATAAAGTATGCCTGCTTTCAGCATGCCTGAATACACCCTTTTCATAAATGGCGGCCGATTAAAAATTCTTTTATGTGCATATAAATTGGCCCAACTAGCCTCGTACTCATGTTAAGATTTCAAAGGAATTTCTACAAAGAAACAAGGCTAGTTGGGCCAATTTATATGCACATAAACGAATTTTTAATCGGCAGACATTTATGAAAAGGGTGTATTATTATAATAATTTAATAGCCACAGTTTGTGGTTATAAAGTCGGTCTGTGCATGGCTATAAAGTATGCTGGATTCCGGCATACCTTAGAATAGCCACGGTTTGTGGCTGTAAAGTACTACTGTATGCCTGTTTTTGGCATGCTATAACTGTTATGTGCACATTGTAGGGGTGCACCGGATTTCAAATCCGGCCGGATTTAACGAATTTTCCGGCATCCGGCCGGATTTGGAGAAAATCCGGCCGGATTTAAATTTCTGTTTTCACCTTAAAAAATTCAGCAAGAATGGGATAAACCATCAATTTGGCAGCTTTAAAGTTTAAAAAAACAATTATATTATTATAAAATATTAAGTTATTAACAAAAAGATGTTTAAAAAAGGTTTAAACACAATCAAAAATCTAAACTGACACTATTAACTAAAAATAGTAAAAAACATAAGCCGTCATTTTGAATACTGATTTATCCCCAATTGTCCCCATTACCGGGTTTTCCCAAATCCGGCCGGAATTTTTGTCCAAATCCGGTAAATCCGGTTCCGGCCGGATTTTAACATTCCAAATCCGGTGCACCCCTAGCACATTGTGACAAACTGAAAACGTCAGGCCCAGTACAAGACAATCTCACCTTGCGAGATGCTTTTGTAAAAAAATAAGTAAATTATATGGCATTCAAATGATAAAAATTTCAATTGCTTTTTTTTCTTCTTTTTTTTTAATACAAAGCTAAAATTTCATGCAACATATATAAGAAAATTTCCTGCTAAGATATTTTGTTACAAATTTCCTAGCAAAGGTGCTGCCGGATATTTTTCAGCACTGCAGGGGATAGCGTTGGGCATAAATGAGTTAATCCATTAGTTATTTAATACCTGGCCATATTTGCTGAAATAATCTGTGTCAGAAACAACAGAGACACTTTTTACATGTTCTTTCAAAAACTCATCTGTGAACTCAGTAAAACATGTGTCACCATGGATAGTCTGAATTACGTCATAAAGAAATTCTTCCACTGCCTGTTTTACTAGTTGTTGTCGGACTGTGCTAGAAAATGCAATAAAACACAACACACTAAGGACCAGATACTGCAACAACTCACTTAGAAGCAAGATGAAGTGTCAGGCATTTTTACTATACTTTTACATACTATAATTGTTAACACACATTAACAGTAGTTCTAAGCTCTGCAAACTGCTATTAGAAAAGCAGAAAACGTATGGTCAAGCAGATTTTTTTGGGGTGGTGCTGGAATTCTCTAGGGGGGGGGGTGCTAGACACCACTACTGTAGGTGGGGTGCTCGCCCCCTACATCCCCAAGGCAGACCCCAAAACATTTTATGACAATCCTGAGGGGTGCAGCACCTAAGAATTTTAGCACACCCTCATTTTATTTTAATTGATACATCCAAAATATTGTTGAGAAGTGTCATACTCTACTAAGTGATGCACAATATCCATATCTGCATATCAGATAATTTATGGGTATATCAGTCCTAATGTCAAAATATATTGGTATCGGCATTTTTGTTGCATCCTTACAAATTTATGCAATATATTTTAAATTTAGAGTACATCTTTGATTACCATTTGATTGTAACACAACTTAATGACCTGAGTATTGATCAATATACATTCAACAATAGATGTTTATAGCATGCATGTATCCATGGACTTGTACTCTTGTAGTTTAATGATGGGTTTAAAAGTTAAAACCCATACTACACTAAAATAGAATACCGGTATGACGGTATCAACCAATATCGGCCCTTGACTATCGGTTAATTTCCATATCAGTACATCACTACCATACTCAGCAGTGTGTGTCTGCACATCAATAAATTACATATTACCTATATCCACATTGATTTATTTCGACATGAAATGAAGGTAGTTTTGGCATTGGAAGAGCGTCTGACAGCTCTTGTACTTGGTCCATAATAGTAAAACTACTCTTTTCTTTTCAAAACCTCGAAGAATTATTTCATTTCAACAGGCAAAAGAAAGTTCTTTTCGTACAAAACAAAACAGATTTAAAACTTCCACCATTTTTTTCAAATAGTTCTCAGTCTCCAAATATCGCTCGTACAGGTGCTTCCATATGCTAATTGCCGAATTTCGTTTTTCAAAATGTAATATTAATATACGTGGCTGAATTTTGCGTAGCTTATACTTCCCAAGTATTGAAGTCTGTGCTTAGCTTGACTATTGTGTTGCCTGGCCTAAACGTCTGTGAAATAATTGTCACTAAGTTTTGGTTATGAACATTCAAGTTTCACGACAAAATAGCCAATGATTTTTGTTACGTCTGTTCATCATTAGATGCAAACGACGGAAATGAAGACAATATGTTTATCGTATATGAAGTACTCAGACACATCTCTTACTCGGAAAGCAAATTATTTGTAAATTGTAAACCGAAATATTATATACTTTTTATGCATGATTTGAGCCTTCATGTGCCTTGCTTTTAATCCGATCTTTAAGAAAATAAAAACTATGGAAATCGAGTACGTAATGATGTGCATACCAGCTAAACTTGGCCAAATTTACATTTAAAATTGGAGATTTTAATGCCAGGCTTCGCATGGAAAAAGTAGTCGACTCGTCGCCAACAATAATAGAAGAAAAAATGTTGCCATTTCTACAGTCCGCAAAAGTATCTAGCATGTCAATCGATGATGTAGAAAGGGATTTTCAGTCGCACATATCGTCAGGATTGGTTAGTAGCGAAGCAGAACGAAGGAAAAGGATTTATGGATTGAATGAATTTGATGTGGGACCGGATACACCGTTGTGGCGAAAATACGTGGATCAGGTATCAAGTCTGTAAACATTCAGATAAAAGGGGTTTTAAACGGGGAACAAGCAATTTATACACTGTTAAAATGTTAGTAAATATTGCCCTTGTTTGGTATCAATGGTATGTGGTATTAGTATGCAGAGTATTTTATTTGTGTGGTAAATTCGTAGAACTTCGAATTCTAATTTATATTCTTAAAAGTGTTAATTGCATAAAATCAATAACTTTAATTTTACATGAAAAATTGAAATGTTGAATTATCCTATGCACTGTAAACCTATAGCCTCTTGGGCTCTATTCCTTAAAAACAGTAAATTTCAAACATGAATCCTTTGGCACTTTCCATTTAATGGCCTGACCGGTCAGATCCGAATTCTTTTCTCTGCATCAATGGAACAATCTGGTCTATGTTTTTCAAATACCTAGCGAATATGGACTTCATTCTAATGTTATCTAAATTTTCCAGTCATATAGGTCGGAAGCCCAAATGTTTTGCGTTCCATTCAACAATTTGACCGGTCTGGCCGTGTTAATGGAAAGCGCCCCTTGCACTGCAGAACTGAATATTTGCAACTGCAGTATAGAATAACCGTAACCCTTATTCCCCCCCCCCCCAAACTTTGCATTAGCAAGCCTAGAGGCAAGGCCACAGTCTGGACAATAGTGACCTTCCAATGTGGGATGGCAACATGACGACGACGGCTATTCATACAATGAGATTCATAATATTTTTAAGAAACAAATTAATAATTAATATCGTCCACAGTCTGTTTACAACTGGAAACTACAGACTTATACATCTTGGATAAAATGCCTGCATTTCACAATGCGAGAAGTGAAGTTTACACTGTGAGGCCCGTTTCATACGTCGCACTATCGTCGAATTTAATTCAGACGAATTTAATTGAACCAATTAAATGCGACGTTAGTGCGTCGTATGAAACGAATTAAATCCGTCTGATGAATTAAATTCGTCCAAGACGTTGTATCCGTCACATGTGGTCAGACGGATACAACGTCTGTAGCGCGTCTTCGTTTCATACGACGTGTTATCGTCATCGTCGTGTCGAATTAAATGCATAAATTATGTTAAAGTCTGTTTCTCTCTTTCTGGTCTCGTGTTTTTTTACTTCTGGGTAATCCATGATCGCTAGACATGAAGTCATCGTTTGAAACGAAACCATTTTAGTGTCGACCAATTGACGAATTTAGTAACGAATTAAATTCGTCTGAATTAAATTCGACGTATGAAACAGGCCTAAGACTGAGGTTGTGTGTGGAATTTAATTTTTTCTGTAAAACACCAAATTTGCATATCTACCTAGTCTATGTCTGGCAGACATCTGCCTTCTGTTGAACAATCAAGTGTGTGATCCGTTTATCTAGTAATTAAATTACAGTAGCTTCAATGCTTCACAATTTTGCACAAATATGTGGAATTACAGAATTATGTACTGTTTAATAAACGAGCAAGAGTGTTTTTTATTAGGTTTAAAGCCACAAGCGTGCAGCGCGAGTGGCTTTAGACCTAATAAAACACAACCTGCGAGCTGTAAAGACCTAATAAAACACGACCTGCAAGTGTATCCAAAACCAAATTCTGTGGATACTGGGATACTGCAAATTTCAGATCCTTGCCGCCCGTGCCTACTGTTCAAGGGTCATGAATTTGACATAACTAAGTGACCATGTGCAGGTTGTGCATAACTAAGTGACCATGTGCAGGCTGGCCAGCGCTCTCTTCATGACGAGTAAAATCGTCTGGCATTAGACAGAGTAAAATAATAAAGTGGGTGCAATGCGACCAATGGGTTAACCCAGCACCTCACCCTACTGCTACCGGAGTATGAAATTAATAATTTTGTCAGTACTCCACTGGGACACCAGGATTCAAAGTTCTAGTATCCCTCTCAGTCTGAGAATCACTTATCCCACTTCTGGATACTGGTTACCATAATGAATACACTACATTTCTCTCATTGTATAAATTACAATAACAACAGAAAACTTAATAGTCAACAACTACAGTATACAAGTCATCCGGTATACAATATCCAATCGGTATACAAGTCATTCACAGTTTGGTATCCAAAACCAAATTCTGTGGATACCGGGATACTGCAAATTTAGTATTTCAGTAGGCTGCCTACTGTTCAAGGGTCATGAATTTGACATAATTAAGTGACCATGTGCAGGTTGTGAAAATTTAACATTTAGATAATTTGTAGTAAGAGCTTTCATGTTTATTTTTAGTTCAAAGAGCCTATGATTTTACTACTGCTGGCATCTGGTATTGTCAGCATAATCATGGGACAGATTGATGATGCTGTCAGTATTACTGTGGTAGGTACATTGTGATAAATTGGTGTTTTATTATCAGAAAATATGTCTATTGGTAACCTATTATCAGCTTTCTGCATGACAAGTAAAACTGTGTTGCATTAAATAAAGTAAAATATTAATAGTGGTGATAGACAGAGTAATGCTTGAACTTAAAGTTGGGTTAATGTGCATTGTAGCCTGCGTGGCAGGCCCTCAGTTTTATGGGGGCCTGATTTGCAACGGGCAGGATTCTGGCGGGCGCGGGGGAGGCCCCCATAAAACTGAGGGCCTGCCACGCAGGCTATGTGCATTGGCACTTGGTTTATACTGGAATTATCCTCTTCAATTAACTTGTAAGTGAATCTATGAATACAATTTACATGTTACTTAATAGTTCCTGTTCTATTTGATTATTTTAGGCAGTTTTGATTGTGGTTACTGTTGCATTTGTTCAAGAATACAGATCAGATAAATCTGTAGAAGAAATTAAAAAATTAGTTCCACCGACCTGCCACTGGTACAGTATATATGCCGCGATTAGAATCTTGTTATTTGTAGTTCGTTTATTGTACGCATTGCGTACCTATTTTTGTGTACCTTGTAATAAATTTGGGGAAATTTGCAAGCATTCTTACATAGAGCAGCAGCCAGGGTATGTCTGGTTTTTACAGTACACCCACTTAGGCTAGGGCAGTACACCCATTTAGGCTAGGCCAAACAAGCATTCAAACCAAACTTTGTCACATTTCAATCATCAGTATAATAACTGTATACATCTTGCATATCGTGTCAAGGAATGAAAATTCATGATTTTTTGTTGTCTTTCCCAATTTTGGAAACCATTTTAAAAAACCCAATATTTCCCAGTTTATTGATAAACCACCCCAAGTACCTATAAGAAGTTAATTAACCAAGATTAATGGCTTTGCATGGTTAAGACTTGTCATATCAGATATGTATGAATTATGTGTGTCAGTTCTGCAATCACCTTTGATCCACTCATTTGTAATTTTATACAACATTTATTTATCATCTTATCAGCGTCAGAAATGGTAAATTAGAGAATTTTTTGGCCAAAGAATTAGTCCCTGGTGATGTAGTTTTAATATCAACTGGCGATAGAGTTCCAGCTGATCTGCGACTAATTGAGGTAAAAATTAGTTATTATTTGAGAATTTCCAGAAAAACTGAGTTACATAGTTTGAAATAAAATGGAATATATCGAGTATAAAAAAGCCATCTAGTATTGACTAATTTAGTTCAGATTAATACAATTTAAATATAAAGTATAAAGAAAAGTACTGTGTGTGAATCGTTATGTTCTTTTTAAACCCAGGCAATTGACTTAGAAATAGATGAATCTAGTTTTACTGGTGAAACTGAACCAGAACGAAAAGACACTTCGTGTATTCCTGAAGCTGTAGCAAATGGCAGTGTCACAGAACAGAAGAATATGGCGTTCATGGGAACACTTGTGCGTTGTGGGAAAGGCAAGGTTAGGATAACTAAGATTTATATTCTTTGAAGATTGTGCACATAAAAGTGCTTCTATAAAATCTCGAAAATACATCTCGAAAATCGAAAATAATTAGGGTACCTGTATTCCAATAGTAAACTGGTGCAGGGCCTACCTACTGGGCTCCTACATTTATGTTTTAATCACAGCATTTTGTCAATTTTCTATTCTAGGGTTTAGTGACAGGCACAGGTGAACACACCCAGTTTGGAGAAATATTTAAACTCATGAAAGCTGAAGAGGTATATGTCTGAATCTAGTTTGTGTATGTCATATTTGGCATTGTAGTTTGTTTGATATTTTAATCTTTTTAATCTGTCTAATGTCAGATGATTTTACTCATCAAGGGGAGAGTGCTGACACGCAATGGATTAATAGAGAGGCTCAGAATTGACTTCCACTACCACTACCATTAAGGG